ATTGCAATTGTTTACTGTCACTTAGTATGGATGAAACCAGAACACGACATGAAAGCGCACGACAGTATTCAACTGTACGATATTGTGGAGAGAAGTCATTTGGTAATAGGGGAACAAGTTGTGTTTTCACTGATTTGCTTGACTTCAGCGGAAATAGAGTTCCTTTGCAAATATCCAGAGATACAATTTCGTTACAAAGCGTCTTAAAATTACAGCACTGCAAAGAACGCTCGTTTGAAACGTATATGGGATGATCATTGGGCAATGCCCAGCCATAAACAAGAACAGTATAATTAAGAGTAGATTCGACACGTACAGAAAACTTTGCAATCAAGTACTCACTTTCTTTAAACTCAATAACAGTGTTATTTCCTTCTTTGAACCAATTCCAACCTTAAAAATATGGATACCTTCCAGCTTTTTTCAAATATGCATCGAACTTATCAAGAGAGGCATATATAATTGTAGTTTCTTGAGAAACATGCCTTGGAGCTGGTTCTTTTCTCGGCGCACTAGTGAAGCTTGTGCTAAGATGATCGAAGCTTTTGACGGGGAGATTTTCTGTTGGAATTGAACCAGTTTGGAGGGACTTCCTTTCGGAAAAGTTTTCAATGTACTCCTCTTTAAAATGACTCTCACAAATATGTATGTTGTTGTTTTCGATCTGTGTCTTCAAGTTCGCATCCAACTGTCTCGTTCGTAATATCGCGTTAATCCAACCGTTTCGTGCTTCTTCCTTACGATGAAAAGTAAATTCGCTGTCTGAATTACGAGGAACTGGAATTTGAAACAAACTCACGTTTTTGTACCACCTACTGTGAAAACAATTGTAAAAAGCGCTATTGGGCATTCGTGTATCAAATTACTACGATATTATATTATCATATTTTGGGTTTTTCGATTGTAGTCGTTCGTCGTCACGTGACCTTAGAATTTAATCGGTTAACATAATAATTACGTCATCGCAAAATAGGGGAAGCGTCCAAACCATCTTGCTCCATTAACTATGGTGCAGGTGATCTGATTTACACGCAAGTGGTCTATGAGTAAGCAAGAGTAAGCACGGGAGAGACCACGGATCAGCACATGCTTACATACATGTGATAAATATACATTTCTAAATAGCAAATTGTTGTTAAGTGGCAAAGTGTCGCAGGAATTTTTACTGTGTATTTTTGGATTTTGTATGTACTTACATGAATGTGTTTCTTTCCCTAAACACTTGCGTGAATTTGTTTCAAGTTCCGTTCTCTTTCGCGAATTTTTTGGGTACCCTCCCCCACAACTCCCAAAGATATCTATAGTCCACATCTAATTAGTATTTATACATTCTAATCCATGCATTATATAAACATTTCCAGCGCATATACATTATTACGTATGTATGAAATAATAGAATGCAGCCTCCTGTCTCTTTCTAAATGTTTCTATTTTTTTAAAACACAACCTCAATTCTGTTCAATTAGCTGTATATATCGATGATGGGAACAGTGTTGCGCTACCAATGCAATGGTATAATAATTTTCTTACTATAAATACCGTTTTGCTTAGGTAATTAACTTGACTTGCTTGAGCATGACATTTTTTCCTCACATTTAGAAATGTCTCCATCTGCAACTATACAATTGGTGAACGATTCTTCCAAGAAAGCCACGTTGTCATGGCAACAGCAAAACGGGGATAGGGCTGAAATTCTGGAGTATGTTATACAGATCTTCCACACCTCAACATACGGGAAATCTAAACTGGAGTCAATACACCTTGACATCAAGAGACAGCGTAGAATGTACACCTTTAATTTGGATAAAATCAAAGATGCAGTGCTTAGAGTGTGTATAAGGAATACACTGTGCATTTATGAAAAATCTTGCTCAAAGAAGGTCGGACTTCACCCAGGTAAATAATGAAGCAATTGGTTAGTAGTGACGCCTTCATCATTTGATAATAGTGTTCATCTAAAGTAAACTGGGATTCGTTATTCCTTTAACTAAAACACGGCTTGTTTCAAGTTGCCCCTCCTTTCCTCGTGCATACATAAAGTCAATTTAGGTCTGTTTTCATTCAGGTTTAACGGGATTCGGTTCCTAAATAGAATATTTATGAATATGGTTTGTGATTCATTGATTGTGACAATAAAGGAAAGTAAACTATAGAAACAGTGGTGCAAGTCCTAAGGCCTGGAGTCGGCAACAGCTGCATGGGAACAACTTGGTAAAGAATAGAGGAATTGTCTAGAGTTATATAGAGAACTACAATCAAATATAGTTATGTAGAGAACTACAATCAGGATAGTCAGACGTTTAATTAAGTTAACACCCTCGATGAAATAAACATAAGTACTATTTAAAACACAAGAAGGAGTGTTTTATCATATTTAAAACGCGAAGCGCAACCGAGCGTTTTAGATATGATAAAACGCGATTTCGAGTGCTTTGAATAGCTTCAAAAACTCATTAATAATGCAGGAGCAAAACACAAAGAAAAATCATAAGCGCGTCGTGGTTTTATATGTGATAAAAAATCACGTTAATTTACATAAATTTTAGCTTTGATTTTCTCGGTTTAGACAAAGTTTATTTTAAAATTACTTCGCCAATGAACTCGTATAAGACGAGTCGTTTTTGAAGTTATTTAAAGCACTTGTAATCGTGTTTTATCACATATAAAACACTCCGCTACGCGTCGTATTTTATATGTGATAAAACACTCCTACGCGTGCTTTAAATAGTACTTAAAATACGACTACAAAAGAATACTAATTAGTATGAACAATTATATAAAGAATACTAATGAAGATGAGTTTTATCAGATAAAAAGTTACTCCACGTGACTTATTATGGCCGACATGATTTGCCACAAGTTTTATGAATTTTTAATTCTTTTTATTATATAAAGTACATTGCTTTATAGAAATTTCGAACACTGATAAAAGTGATAATCTCACATGTGAGATTATTCATGATAATCTGACAAGTGAAAATTATCGCTTTTCAATTATCGCTTTTCCGTAAAATTATCGCTTTTCAAAGAATGTTCGAAATAAATCTGGTATTTCCACGCACCAATGTATTATTCTCTATATAATATGCCGTTTAAAAGTGTTCGTATTTCGTCATAGATCTGCATCATTCGTATATTGCAACTAGTAGAAATGTGGGTTAATTAGAGGCTGGTGTGGGGTAGGTAGAGGAAATGTGCGAACTAAATAGTCTTTTTCATCTTCTTCGTTTTAATCGGACTCATAATAATATGATCTTCTTGAAAATGGAGAGTCTCTGTTGATTCTATGTTCTTTCATTCTAGTTTTTCCCTCGGAGCCCAGAATAATTGAAGATTTCAAGTTTTTCGATAACTCCAGCGACGTGAAAATCTCGTGGTTGGAACCAGTTGTAAGAGGCAAAGGCAAGTTGTCTTATATTGTTGAAATCTTGAAAGGAGGGAAATGGAAACAGGAGATATTTACATCGGACTTGCACACGACGCTTACTTCGCCATCGTTGAGTGATCATATTCGAGTATGTGCTAGGAATGATGTTGAGCCTAAAAAGGTCTCATGCTCAAAAAGTTATGGTAAGTGTCGTAAACACAGTGCCCTGTCGTTTTCTAAATTACCGAATGGCAGCAACGTCCAATATTAACCTCACTATCTCTCGTTTGCGAAATTGCAGTTTCACGTTCTTGACCAGGTGCTATTCTCAATCAGTACGATTACGCAATGAACCAATCCCAGATTAACCAAAGTTTTGATCTCAACATGTCTAGACAAAATTTTCATTACAGCTTCAAAAAGCATCACAAAATTAGTAATATTCCAAAGTTTCGTTGCGAAATGTTGCACTGAAAATGCGGATAATATAACCTTGCGAAACTTGCAATTTTCAGTCATTTTGTATTACAAACGGGAAATGGTTATCCGTCATCCTATCCTGACCGTGTTCGACACACGTACAGTACAATCGTAGAATACAATGCAACTGGATTTTAAACCATTGCGGTGCCGGCGCGCGAAATAGATTGCATGTGTTACGTGTCTCGGAAAAAGAAACGTACTTCACAGTATATAGCGTAGTTTCGCATATAGTGTAGTTTTTGTATGAACCTGAAACTATAAACTCATCCTTGCTTCTATTTCGTTTTCTTAGATCTTGGCAAAGCGAAGTTGGGAATTTTTGAACTTGGTTTAAATTTAAATGGATCTTCAAGCAATAACGCAAATTTTTTTATTATCTTCATACTAATGAAAGTGTTGGACGCTATCGTTCATTTCCATTGGTGAATACAAGCTATAAAATCTAGGAAGCCTACGGTCACGTCCTTGTGTACATCTGCATTAACTGGAGAAATTTAATAAGCGACATCATGTTTTAGATAACACGCAATCTACACAAACTAATAGCTATTGCAATGCTTAACACCGTCCCAACAGAACAAATATGCCTCTCTTCTGGATATGTACTCAGGGGCTAGACTTCTATTGGACATGGACATGTTTTCAGAAAGCGCATGTTTTATTTTATCTTTCTAGTTGATCTACAGGCAGCAATACTAACCATACAATTCGGCAAATTTAGGTGCCAATTTATGTCCAGTCAATCTGTGACCAGAGGTCAAAGAAATTGTAAATAGAATTTTTTTTCAGTGGTAAAATTTGAGGGAAGGTGTCTTGATTAACATACTAAAAATCCCAAAAAATCCCTTCGGTGGAACATGGTGAAAATCGAGTTTCTCTTACTTCTACCTATAGAAAACCATTGTGGACAGAATATTCAAATTTTGAAATCATTTTTAGGCAAATGTAACATACATTATTGGAAAGCTTAAAACAAAACTATATAAAGGTCAATTAAACCGTTATATTCAATTTACTAGCAGTTTATCGTTATTCTAGCTCAAATTTGGAAAAATAGCGCAAAATTGCACAAAATACAAATTTATGGCATTTTAAATCTTGTATAACTTCGGCTGGATAGGAAAAAGCAAGGTAACCGTTATAACTTAAAGTTGTTATATTGTAGTTGATTTATATTTATTTTTTTCTAAGCATTGCAGTGATGTAGGTAATATTTGCAAAAAAAATAATTTCAAAATTTCAACATTTTGTCCGCAATGGTATATTCCGTTGGCAGAAGTAAGAAAAACTCGATTTTTACCATGTTCCACTGAAGGGATTTTTTTGGATTTTTAATATGTTAATCAGAACACCTTTTCTCACACTTTACCACTGAAGAATATCTATTGCGATTACTTTGATCAGGACCATGTACTAAGTGATTTGACTGGACTATAAATATCGGATGAAGTAGGACATGCACGAGCAGTTGCTTTTGTAATGTTGCTCATGTCGATGCGCCAGGCCTTGTCCGCAATTTTTGGGGGCCAAATTGCGAAAGAAAAGAAGTTAGCCATAACGGAATAAGTGAGTACTTAGAAACAGTATTACTGTGCTTTAACATTTCCATATTCAGTATTTAACTAGTACGTTAAGGCCCTGTCACACTATTGCGTATCGTACTAGCGTATGCCAGCGTATATGAAAAAATATCACTCATATACGCCGGTATACGCTGACATACGCTAGGGGTACGTTAGGCATAGGTTGTATACGTTTCAAGCATGGTCGCGTACGGTAGCATACGCTGGCATACGGCGAGGCAGAAAATTTTCTTTTAAGCATGTTCAAAAATTTTGTGCGTACTGGACGTATGCTTTATACGATAAGCATACTCTAGGCACACGCTAAATACGCTAGAGTTACGCCAGGTGTACGGTACTCATACGCTGGCATTTCAAAGGATTTTTGTGCGTATGAAAATTATTTCGTTAATTTTCATACGCTTCTCATACGTTTCTCTCATACGCAATAGTGTGACGGAGCCTTAACTGACCAATTTCCCCTTCCAAATTGCAATCCAAAAACGTCGAACAAGGCCTGGTCGCAATGCGTCGGAAATGCTAATCACATATAGTTTCCAAGTAAATATTTATTAAAATTATACAGTGGGATAAACGGTTGTTCGTCGTAAATTTCGGTAATGTTGCCAAATGGTGAAACCTTTATGAGATAACCTGCCCAGTGCGTATTTAAAGCAAGAAAAAGTAAGTGAAACACTGTCTTCTAACTCATTGTTAATTTCCATGTTATCCAAATTTATTGTTCAAATATGAACAGCAATAAATTAAACACAAATAGCATTAAAAATTAAGTTTTTTTCATTGAGATTCAAAACTTTAGTATAAATTAAATTTCATTATCCTTATTGGTATAAAACGTATATATATATATATATATATATATATATATATATATATATATATATATATATGAAATTTCTCCTTATATATGTACAGGTACGTGCACATTCGAAGGCATTACCATCCAAGTCAAATGGTTATGCTGATGACGTTCAAAGGCATTACCATCCAAGATGAATGGGTTGGGTGATGACGTTCAAAGGCATTACCATCCAAGTTGAATGGTGATGGTGATCATATGATATTCATCCTACCAACGAAAGCTTGTTCTACACCAAGAACCTGCAGCAATAGCCCAAAATTTTAACTTGATAAATAAGTGTACATGACTTCAATGGACCACAATTGATTCCTGGCGGCCACAAAAGAGTTGCTCACTGAGCGCTGCTAACCGAACAATTTCCGTATGAATAATGGAGCCGAACGGATTTGAGTATGATGCAGGACTTGTAGTGTTACAATTTGGCTTCTGGTCTCGGCTCGGCGTCTCCTAAATTATATCTTATATCAACCTCGTCCCCAGGGCCTTTGAGCTGACTTCGTGCTGGAGGAGGCCCTGGCATCGGCTGACATTTTACACCCCAAAATTTGGGGTGTGAATTAATTAAAACCACTTAATTTCAATGCGAGAAATTGTTTTATTCTTCAAAATTTCTTATACTTGCTGCTCCAGGACAAGGTAAATGTTATATATTTTTAATCCTCGAGAAATAAGCTATCGGAAAATATTTGAATCAAATTTGTACGATCAGAAATTTAGAAGCTACGAGTCAATTTGGCAGCCGCTAGACTAAATTTAATTGTTTACAACATGGCAACAACATTACAAATCTTATGTAACTCGTAGCTTCTAAATTTCTGATCGTATAAATTTGATTCAAACATTTTCCGATAGCTTATTTCTCGAGGATTAAAAATATATAACATTTACCTTGTCCTGGAGCAGCAAGTATAGGAAATTTTGAAGAATAAAACAATTTCGCGCATTGAAATTAAGTGGTCTTAATTCATTCACACCCAAATTTTGGGGTGTAAAATGTCAGCCGATGCCAGGGCCTTCCCCAGCACGAAGTCAGCTCAAAGGCCCTGGGGGAGGTTGATCTTATATCGAATGATGTCAATCATGTTCCACGCAGCAAAATTGATAAAATACAACAAAATGTCAACATTATATCATATACACTCTATGGAGTCGAATTATTTGAAACTCATGTAAATAAATGCAGAACAATTTTCGCCAAATATTTTGAAATTTTATGCAAGACACCCTTTTTTATACAAAATCCACATTAATTCTGACTTGTGCTGTATTTCACCGTATATTGCCATTAACTGAAGCAATAATTATCCTCGTTACAATGTCTTGACAATTTGTTTCGGCCAAGAACCGCTTGGCTTTGAAAATTTGAACGCCCTAAAACGTCAGTGTCGACATAGCTCTAACTTCCGAAAGGAAAAGCGATAGCCTTTCTGAAGTGCTTATAGTGTTTAGAAGGGTTGCTTTTAGGGGTGGTATTGGAAGGAAAAATTTTCGAAGTATAATATTTTACCAGAAAATAACTATACACCACCCCAGGTAAATTGCTGATTATGCACAAAATAACTAATATGCCTGGCGGAAATGAAATATTCTTATTTCCTAAAAAAATTATCATGGTATGCTTAATTTAAACGCTCAGGTTGATGCAATATTGATGAAAACAGGATAGAACCATGCTGCCCACGTTGTTCATAGCTGTCAACATTATTGAACAATATTGTTACACCCAATTCAGTTTGAACAACATTGTTCAATATTGTTGACAAGTGTGAACAACGTGGGCAGTAAAACATTGTTCAGTCCTGTTGAGCAACGGGCTCGGCGTTTTCTGCCGTGTACACGCGTAAAAATTGATCAGGTTGTTCGGTGTTGTTCATTGAATAACGCCTGAACAATGTTGTTATCATGGCTAAACAACATTGTTCAAGCAACAATCGTTAACAACATTGTTCCAACAACTTGTTCACGCTTGATGAACGAACAGTAGTTGTTGCAACATGATGGTATTGCAATGTAAAGATAACTCGGGAAACAACATAGCTTCGGTCGCCTAATACTGTTATTGTAATTACGATTTACTTCAATGCTACACTTGCCATCACGCAACGAAAACAACTCATGAGAATATTTAATCAAAAATCTTCAAAATGTTAGTTTTGTTTCTGATTTCGTTCATTCCCCGTTCCATTCCGATTCCCCATTCCCCGTTCCATTCCCCGTTCCATTCCCCGTTCCATTCCCCGTTCCATTCCCCGTTCCATTCCCCGTTCCCCGTTTTAAAGATAGTGAGTTCCTTTTGATAATTCCGAACGACTTCCATTTATCAAGTCTTTAATGTCATTTTTGCCCAATCGCCCACATTGTAAATTAATTGCTGCGGAGCGAGCGAGCCTGAAGCGATCGAGCGTAGCAGCATATATATATATATATATATATATATATAT